GTAGAGTGCATACTGCAGATTTGAACTCTTGTGCAAAATCATAAATTTAAGTATATTTGATCAAAGTAGTCAAAACTACGGGTGTTATTAATTTATTTAATTAATTAATATATTATATTTTTTTGTAATATTTTAAATTTTTTCTTATTTTATAAGATGATAACTCCATTAATTTAATTTAAAAATAAAAATAGAATATCCCTATACTCTCTAATTTATTTTTCTTTCTAAATCGTGCACTCTAACCTTAATTTTAAATGTATTTTATAGTTATAAGATGATAACTCCATTAACTTAATTTAAAAATAAAAATAGAATATCCCTATACTCTTTAATTTATTTTCCTTTCTAAATCATGTACTTTAACCCTAATTCTAAATGTATTTTATAGTTATATTTTTTATTTAATGTTAAAAATTTTTATATTATCTCATATATTTAATAGTGTTAAAAACTAATCAATTCGATTGAACTACACCAATCCGATTTAACTTAAATTAATTTGATTATTATATAATAATAAATTAAATTGATTTAAAAATTTTACTAACTAATTAAATTAAATTTATTAAAAAAATAATAAAATTCGAATCAAACCACACTGCGAACACGCCTATAATGGGGCGGAGGAGGCGGAGGAGGCGTGCTTTGGTTAAAATTTTAAACGGAGGGAGAGAGAAGGCCCAAAAACCGAATCTCACTTTTTGTGAACCAGAGGTACCCAACTCAGTTACATGGGCTTCTTCTATAATACGTGCCCAATTTGGAGAAAGTTGATGCAGCCTATGAATCATTTCTGTTAAGATTTTCCTTTTTCCTTTTTGGGCTAGGGGAGTGGCCTTAGACAAACTGGGTTGCCTTGGCTGATACAAGAAATTAATCATCCAAGAAATGTTGCAGATGGCGAATCAGTATTTCAAAACCAGTTTCGGAAGAAATGATACCAGATATGCAATCTATTTTCCGGTGTAACAGTAACATATATACTATACTAGTAGATTCTACCTGTAATTCATAGTTCCTATCATTCTCCCAAACAAGACTTGGAAAATTATGTCCATTGCTTGCAACTAATTCTTCACCCTGTCCCTCAAAATCTAATGCAAAAGAGTGTAGTCGGTAGGCTAAGTAATGCCAAAAGAATTAAGGAAAAACATTACTCTTAAGCTGTATTATCACAGAGATGCTTCAGGTAACAACAGTCATCAGGCCCGTCATTGATTAGTTCTGAAATGCTTGAAGATGTAAACTTGTAGGGGTTGTCTGATGTGAGTGAGAATCTCAAGTCATAGCCATGGCTTGGAACCTCAAGAAATGCGCGGTTAAACTGGATGAGGAAGCCAGTTAATAAGTATCAGAATCCTGGATGTGTGTGATCTGTTGGAATCAATGGTCAGACCAATCTCGTCATTAGCCTAGAGTCATCCCCCTTGATATTAAGTTCTGTAACGCCAGTAACATCTGGAATAAGTGCAATGTCATGCGTTATAGATCAAGTACAAAATAAGAAAAACTAAACACACTAGATCCAGAAGCCATACTAATAAGCATTTGCTTTTATTTTGTATTATTTTAAGTAAATGTTTAGGACTGGATTAATAGAATGTTAGACACTACAATTGAGAGGTAAGGAAATGCATGAAACAATATTGTCCCTTTTTAGTTTTCAATCGAGAGGTCAGAAGCAGTAATGCATTTGAAGTATGAAGTGATGACGTGACAAATTTCGTATGGTACAAAAAAGAATTTCGAGAATTGAGTATAACTGAAATCTCTTTTCACGTTCTTTTCCCATATGGAAAATGTAATTTGGTGAAGAAAGTAATGAGCATACCAAAACTTCTGAGAAGCACTCCCTAAACCTTCACCATGTGAGCTTCAGCTAGAGAGGAATTCAGGTCTTCTCGTGATTGTGAACGCCTACTTTGCAACTGCATCTGACTTCTGTGGGGAGACCAGAAGGAAGCCATGCTACTACTGTCAACCTGCATCTGCCCCAAGCTATTTGAGGAATAACTATGTGAAACACTGCTGGTCGATGGGTACAAGTAAGACTCCATGAGTTGGGTGCTGCTTCCACCCAGACCATGTCCCAAGCTAAAGGGTCTTTGCTGGGAGCCACTAACTGTAGGACTCAGAGGTGTCTTAACTCTTCCATCCCCTGCAAGCCATGGGCAACATTTCTTTCAATATCAAACAAGGGAGAAACTTGAAAACAAAAACCCAAAAACCAAAAGAAAAAAAAAGGATTTAACAAAACCAAGTGAATCAATGCACTTAATCGAATATGGTATTCTACTCATGAATACCATGAATCTGACAAAACCAAAAAAAAAAAAAAAATGATTGTTAAAGGAAGTTAGTGCTTAGCATTGTAGGGATTCAAACCCCTGACCCCAAAATCAAGGTTCTGAAGTTAGTTTGCACCAACTCAATGACTAAGCTCTTGATGGTATGAATGTGAAAAAATTAATGTGTTAACCACATAAATCACAGTTACAGATCATACTGTGACCAGTCAAGTGGTAAGAGCTGCACAATACAAGGTTTAGCAAGAGCACTAGAGATGGGGATGATTTTTTGCACAGATATTCACTTCAGTCACAAATGGACAGAAACCCATTTCAATATAATTAATACATTATCATTCCCCCTTGTGCTTATAAGAAGAGCGTAGGATCACTGCACAATCCAAACTGCTGTTTCAATTGCTCTATAAAATCAGAAAAATTACAAAATGAAGGTTGTGTTTAAATTTAAGATATCTGTATTAAGTATCAGACACTGTCAGGAAGTATAAGACAAGTATCATATCCAAACACAACTTCTACAGGATACAGGGAAGAGGTAACCATAGAACTAACTGTTACTGCAGGCTACGTATAAAATGGACAATAAATGTCAAGAGGCAGGAATGTGCACAAAAGTATGGATCTCACAGATCTTACCAGAACTGATGGGACTCCAGCGCTGGAGCCTGAAAGGAGATGGGATGTTAAGAACAGATGAGGGTGTTGCACTGTTATGCCGTAACAGAGGGAGATATGGCCTCCGGAAAAATCTGGGCATCCAATTGCCAACATATGATAAAGCACAAACAAGAAGAATTAATGAAATTAACAAAATGCCAATAAGAATTATTGGATCTATCTTCATCTCCAGTATTTCATAGCTGTGAAGGCCCAACCTAGTTGAAAATGATTTTCCAGCTTCCAACAGGGCAACACCCAATGTCCATGTAATACTTCCAGAACCAACAATAATCTGACTATCTGTAATGTGCAAGCCCTCCCTCAATAATGATACTATATACGGTGCCCTAAAGCAATACTGTTCAATAAAGGGCTGAGGAGCAACGCTATGTTTTGCTACTTCCCAAGTTTTTTCACAGAACTCTCTACCCTTTTCCAGTACATCATCAAGTGCAGCATCTGAAGAGAGATTGAAAAAACGATATACAACAAAGAAACCAGAAATAGCATAGAACTGGCCATTAGGGTGAGGAAGACTATCAGAAAGGGCACAAGGCTGCAAATCACAATCAATTCCTGGGTTTAGATTTGACCATTCAGACAAATTGACAGCAACTTTTGCAAGTGCACTGCATTCTTCCCAATTTGGAGCACCAATGAGCTGCACAGAAATCCCAGACTTTCCACCTTTATCCAATTTTTTCCCTCCAATTACAGGACTCCCATTTTCTTGATCATTAGTTGCACACATTGCACAAGTATATTCTTCCTTGTAGCCAGAGTTCAAGCAAGGATGCTTAATTTCTATCTTGCCATTGACAAGATTTGTATTGGAGCTATCTTGGAGCTTCTTTAACAGACGAACCACAGTTTTGTCAAAGGCGTCATTCAAACCGTAACCTGGGAGAGAATAGGCACTGAGATGATGGTTAACAGCTCCAATTCTAAGGTTTATGTTGGTCTCATTATGCTGATGTTGCTCATTCTCAAACGTAACTTGCAATGATGATCCACCTAAGTCAAGTGCACCAAATGTTGCCTTCTTCGGTGTGGCTCCCAACACATGAGTGCGATAGTTGAGGGCTGTCCACCCATAGTATGCTTCTTCCATTCCACTGATAACATTAACCCACTCTCTTTGGCACAAGAAGGGTGAACTCTTTACTATGGACCAAGCATTGTCTAGAAGCCATTTTGAATCTGCACTTGGCAGCCTGCGGACACCAGCTGTAGCATACAGGAAAAGAGAGGTATCCTTATGGGCATAGTCAGGGATTTGCTTCTTGGCCCAACGAACAAGTGGATTTATGGCAGCCTTCAAACCAGATCTGTTGTGCACTAACTTATGAAAGCCAGGTTCAGTTTCCATCCGATCATATGCACGTCCACTCTGTGAACTAGGTTTTCTAGAAATACCTTCTGTGAATGATTTCATAACAATAGGGAGGCTGCCATCTTTCTTATGATCAATTGATGCCTGATACACATAAACTCGAGTTCCAGTACTTCCACAATCAAGAACAACATAATATTTGGATGCCCCTCGACCCCAGATTGAATGAATATACATTGAAACGACATATATCAGGAAAGCAAACAAAAGTAGACACAAGAAAACCACAAACATTCTCACCCACTTTCGGCGCAGAAATGTGGTAGTCCCACCGGGCAAAGCCTTCTCCTTCGAGAAACTTGACCCAGCATTTTCTCTCTGTAAAGACTGTTTCGTGTGGGCCACACTCCTATTAATTCCAGCATTAAGATCTCCTTCTTCCAGATCATGCCGAAGATATGATGAAAAATCCTGGAGAGATGAGGAAAGACGCAAGCTGTTCTTGTTCCCAATATTTGCAAAATCAAAACCATTAGAACCTTTACTCTTCGGCGGTGACAATGCAGGAGACATATATGGAACAGAAGACTTAGTGGGTGACAAATGACTAGACGCAGCAGAAATTACTTCAGCAATTTTACTAAACACCATTTCCTTCTGTTACAGATATTAAGAACATTGCAGAAGTTTCCAATGTGCTAATCTCGGCAGGCAGCACCACCAATGCATAGGGTGGGCAACTCTAGTGCACTTTAACGGCCATTAAGGCAACAAAGAGATCATCAATCCTAAAATCAGAAACCAAATTATAACATAATCAATCATATCCATATGAAGAAAAACGGTAATCGAAAAAACCCATAATAAATGCCAAACTCTTGTTAATGTTAAACCAAATCCTGTACTCAGATCCCAAAAAGCAAATTCCATAATCCGAACCGACAGAAAATATCTCAAAAGAAAAACATTCATACTTTGCAAAACCAACAAAGTGCGAATGGGCAGGTTGATCTCCAATGAGAAATGCCAGTAAGAACACAAAAAAACCTACTTTCGATTCAATCCGAAGACTTTAAGGGTTACCTGAAGGTCGTAGAAGAAGGCGATTGTTCGTGTGGTATTGAGAGATTGTAGAAGCGCTTCAGATCTCGCTCCGACCTTCACAATCTACAGGAATAGAGTCGTCGATTTGGTATAGTGGGTTGAGTATGAGATTCAGTGAGGCAGATCCAATGCGATAGAGGAGAAGCGTTGCGTCTCTGGTACTGCTAAACTGCCCCCCACTTTCTTCTCTCCTTGTTCCTGTTTTCGTTTTCTTTCATTCTTTCCTCCTCCTTTTTATTTGTTCAATTTTTACCCCTGATTTAGAATCAACAACTTACTGTTATAATTTCTTTGTATTTCAATAAGGTGCCCTGTCTTTTTCATTTTTTTATATTTATCCCAAAGTAGATAAAGTTTACAGGGTCAAAATTTAAAAGGGATAATATATTATGAATCATATAATTTAAAATATTAAAAATTAAATTATTTATTAAAATATATAATATTATATATACTAATTCAAAGTCATTTATAAAAATAATTTACCTCAAATTATTAATTCAAATTTTCATCCTTTACATCAGTACTCATTTATCCTAATCAATAATGATCGTGGTGATGGTGGTGTTGTCAGTCAACTTCTCCATCACATTTTCTTTTTCTTTCCATTTGAGTACACTTCTTTTTGTTTTTCATTTTTTTATTTTTTCAAAAACAAGGTAGGGGGGGTGTTCCTAGTTATTCGCGTCGGAAGCCCTCTGCCAACTTCTCAAGCGTGTGATAAACCTGAACAATTGTAACTTTTCCATTGGAGGGAACGGGGTAAATAAGGATATAATTTTATTTTTTTTTATTTAAAAATATTAATTTTATTAATTTTTAAATAAAAATATTAATTTTTAATTTATATTTTTTTAAAATAAAATGTCAACTTTAAATTTTTTATTTAAATATGTCAATTTTTAATTTTTTTTATTTAAAAATGTCAACTTTCAATTTTTTCTATTTAAGAATTAATTAAGGACGACGATGACATGCTTAATATATTTTTTTGGGTTAAATATTTAAATTGGTCTCTCAACTTTTATTTTAGAACCAATTCATCCTTGAACTTCAAAAGTACCAAAAACATCTTTCAATTTCAATTTTTAGCACCAATTTTGTTTTCCCGTCAATTAAGTGCTGATATAGCTAATTTTTTCGCTAAGTGATTAATTATTTTATATTTTCAATATTAAGTGAAAAATCCATCATGTAAAAGATGATTACGTGAATTTTTTTAATTTTAAATAATTTAAAACTACTTTAATTCTTAATTTTCTTTATTTATATTTAAAAATTAAAACAATTAATATATTTCCCAT